GACGCGAACACAACTACACGCCTTCTACATATAGGTACATACGCACACACATACACGTATTTATACATAGGGTAGGGCGGGGCACAAAGGTCCAATTTGACTTTGAGCAATTGTATTGTGAAAACCAAACAAATTATACCACAACTAATTATACGTATTAAATAAACAACTACCTGACTATGTTCAGTATGTGTTTTTTGCTGTTTTACAAAAATTTGTCATCTGGTAATTTTTACCCCACAGGCTGGTAAAATGAGACGGCCAAGGGGCAAACAGGTACAATGTCTTATTTTTAGTTTTGAAGGGATTTTCGGAAAAGCTACTTTATTCAACCATTGCAAAATATAAATTTCATGGGTACATTTTTTACACACAACACCGTATATAACCTTGATCTGGATTTTTGTCAAAAATATTCAACAGCAGAGTTGGAATAACTATTTAATTTATCTTTTGTATAATTGCTTTTGTTAACTTAATATACTTTTTTATTTACTATTTTTAGTTGTTTACACCTTTGCCAGTTTCGAACCTTCAACCTGGTTCTTTTTACCCCACCTACGTGTAAGTTGCATGGTGGTTATATAAGAAAAATTGGCAAATCTAACTTAAAATTAGCATTACATCTTATCAAACAATTAAATAACGTGTATTTAAATATTTTATCAAGGTCTCGTAAACTAAACAACAGTGCTCTCAACTAAAGAAACTAACAATGGCAGAAAATACCATAGAAACGGCAATCAAGGTGATGGCTGGTTATACATAATTTCCCTCTACTTTTAAATATTGTTTAAAAATCCTAACTTTACTTGGTTTCGAGATAATGGTATATACTGACAAAGTCTAATAATCGGTCATAACGTCAACAAAAAACATGATTTTTTATATAAAATCCAAACGTTTAAGATATAGTCCTACTCGCATTCAGTAAAAAATTTGTTTATCAATATTCAAAACTCTTTATACAATTTTTTTTGTATTTATATTTTCATCCTACAAAAATTGAAGACTAACAGAATCGCATTCCAATAGGAATCTTATCTAAATATATCAATGAGTAAATTTTTTAACCTTAGTTTATTATTCACAATAAATTCAAATGTGTAAACAACGTATTTGCAAATTTATGATAAGTATAATATTTTAATATCATTTGCTTAGAGCAATAAGTCCATTTAATAGATTTAACCCTCTATGGGCCGAATTTTTACATCCAAAGAAAGTAGAGAAACGAAAAAATCAGTAATTATAAAAGCAATATATTCTGTTTAAACAAGTTTTGGTATTAATGAGTTATGTGACTTATGAGTCACATCGGTCTATAATGTTCGCACAGAAGTATGACGATGTTATTTCAGGTTGAAAAGCTTAACAATGATCATTAATATTGATATGGGTTGTTTTGACAGCCTTATGAAATTAAAATATATGTTTAATCTCACAAAAAACCATAATTATTTGGAAAAACATCAAAAAATTTGGAAAGTAACCTGAAAGTTCCGCGGGCCCATAGAGGCCCAAAACTCTAGCAACATACTAGTATAATCTGTACTCATTCTCATAAGAATCAAACATATCACACATTATAACATGTCAAGAAATAAAAACCATATTTATTGTGTTATTGGTTTCAACCCCTGTAAGGGTATATTAATGGGGAGATACAAGATGAATGGAGCACGTTGCATAGGTACCGAATCGAGTTAATAAGTGTTAATCCTCTTAAGAACCTGTCTGCCGCGCCAAATGCAAGTATACTTCTTTAAGTAAATTAATAATAGATCAAAGACAAAGAAACCGTTATACCATGAGGGGAATGAAGTATTATGCATTTTTTTGAGAAATATTATAAACTAACAAAGCAAAAATTATTATAATAGTAATAGAAGAGTAATAAGAACTATTAACAAAAAATTGATACATGTATACATGTAAAACTGTAACGAATTAACCAAATTCTTTTAAAAGTAAAGAGTCAATTAAATACACAAAATAAATGTAATTAAAACAATGTTTTCCATGATATTAAAATAATATAAAAATAAATTTAGTATAGTATTATTAATGAAATGTATTATAATTAACTTATAATTTATGTTGAACAACGTCGTCAACCAACTTTTTTGCATCTAAATCAAAACTTGTTAAGAACTAGAGTTTGTGCAACGGTCGGCCAAGCCGTTTCTTTGTAATTAGCAAAATGTTGTAAAATTTTTCGTCCTTGTTTTAGCCTAAAATCTGTAACCGACTTTGAAAGTTCAGAAACTGTTCGAAAGATATTGGACGTAAATCGGGCCGATTAGTTTTTGGTCGAGTTCGTTTAGGTCTTTTCTTTGTAATTAAATGTTTAAAAAAATGTTTTTTTGGCGATTTTGATGAAACTTTGTATGACGATAGAAATAATATATTAAAATATTATAAGTTTGTGATTATATTTATAAAATCATCAAAGTTTGGAACTGCGTCTCGCACTTAAGCGATTCTAATCAGAATCTATGCACGTCGTGCATATGTATTTTCTGTGTTTCGTGTTAAATAAAATACATTTTTAGAACCCGAAATGAATGAAATAAAATGTAGTAAGTTATTTTAATTTATATAAAGTCTTATAGGTACGTTTGAAAAAAATCTTTTATAATGCGCATTGACTAATTTTTTGTGAAAACAAAAATTTTATTTACGAAATAAAGAGTTGATCATTTTACCTAAATAGCTGAATCTAAATTTATATTGATTAAGTTGATTATATATAGGTACAGATAAGTTTATGCAACTTGCCTTAAAGCAAAATGATAATTACGTCTAGTTAAATAAAATTTTGTCAGTCATTAAAACAGATATTCATATGACTAGCGAACATAATAATAATCATGTAATGTTTTTACATCCGACAGTTATTATTTAATACTCTCTATTAATTATTATACTAATCCAGAAACACCCTGCGTACATTTTTCGAAGTGATTTAATTAAACATTCTGATTGTACAAGTGTGATTAAAGCGATGGGAACATATTCGATTGCACGCCGCACGGACGTACATAAATCAGTGAACAAACGGACCAATGCTGTCCCTTTAATATTCCCATATCACCGCTTTTCGACCCCCATCGGCCGCCGTGTATTTCAGCGCACTTTCGACAAATCTCCCCCGGTCTCCGTGTTATTTTCAATCCACCCGGGCCCGCTCTATTCGCATATCAAGTGCACCACTATTATATTTTAGTTATACATACATATTCAGCTGCGCGCTTATACTAGTGCACGAGTTCAAAATTTCCTGGCGGTTAAACCGCGTTCCATTGGTCGCCCGCTAGCGGCTTGTTATGGCCATATACCCTCGCACATCAAACTTTCGATCCGCACACATAGATAAGCTCCTACGCTCTACTAACGCGTAGGGCTTGTTATATAGATAGAGCTCACCAACACAAGGGCCGATCGACGCACACATTCAAACACACCGCATGAAACCCAGAACTGTGTCTACTTTTTCCTACGTCGGCCCTCTCTTTCGTACTCGTTCGTTCAACGCTGAATGCGCTTCAAAACTTGTTTTATCTCCCTCGCACTCCCTGGCAACCCGCTTGCCAGAACGCTCAACTACGAACTCCCTCTCTTCTCGGACACATTACACGTGGTAACTACTGTGCATGGATTTTTATTATACGGCTTTTCCGTCTCTTTCTTTCTGACGATGATACTATTATATCCTTTGCACTCGCACCCGCAACGCTTCACCGCACATTTTTCCTGTCTCCCTCCAACAGCAGTGGGTTTCAGGGGGAACTTTTATATACGATTTGGTACACCGCATACATACACGCAGGCAGTGTGTGAAAAAATGTATATTGCCGATGCATTCACACACACTGTCCGAACGTACTTTTGTCGCCTCATTTTCCAACGGAAAATACTAACACATTTTCACGTCGGAAAACCAAACGTAGCACACAAAAAATACCGCTAAAAGTTCTTCGCGCAAATGAGAAACTCGTATAGCACCGACTCTATCCGGCGCATGGGTTTTTTAGTAGGCGACATTTCAACGAACATTTGAGAAAAAAAACGATTTTTTCAAAAAAATCAACTTTTCTCTCTTTCACGTGTATGGAATACAAACACCGCACCACTCTTCATTCGGCGTTTTTTTATATTTCCGTATCAGCTCGACATACGTCTGCTGGCATTATATTTCTTTGTCCCTTTCTCGCGCTAGAGAACCCCTGTGCGACACCCGGGTATTCTTAAATCATACAAAGATTTTTTATTTGACGCCGAGCTGCAGAGAAACTCCGCACGTCTCTTTCTGCCGCGCTCGAGTCGACATAAGAAACGAAAGACCCGACATATTTCGTTGTAAGATGTTTTATTTGAAAACCAAAAAGGGGTGTAACCGCACGATATTGGCGAATACTTTGGTTATACCTAGGCCAAAAACGGGGTTTACTAACACAGCTGTACCGAGCACACTTTTCGTGTAGGGATAAACGCAAGGGTCGCTGTGTTTGTAATCGATATATTTCAAAGAATTAAATGCAAGAAAAATCGAAAAACGCATCAGTCAGCATTGGAACTTCGCGGTGTAAACATGCGCTGTTTTTTCTAAATTTGTTCTAAATTCCGTGCGAGCGTAGTATCAACTTCTTAATAATTGTGCATCATATTAATTATATAAGAGTGCGTGAACAAGTTTTATATAGTAATGGACTAGTGTATGATAAATAAGTTTAATTTATTTCTTTAATATTATTCATAAAAGAACAAAAGTGTAATTTATACATCGAAAATTGTTTATAGTTAAGTGAATAATCCATATCCGATTATAGTGCTCATAAACATAAGTGTTAAAACTTTCTTATAAACGCCTGTGTCTTTACCGCGCATAACTCCCTGTCGAAATCACCGATATAAGAATAATGAAATAGAGTGTTACCGCAATTTGAGTTTTGCGGTTAAGTGATATTTCAATATTTAGTAAACATAAAACAAAAATCATGTGCAGCGTAGTAGAAGACAACATCCAGCGTTCAAGTCCTGGTTCAATCGGCAGCGGTGTTTCGAATCAGTACGGCGATTTGTCATCAGCCTATGCCCACCTAACCGCCGCGTTGCGTCAGTACCACGGGGAGCTGGTCGAAACCGGGTCGCCAGCGGTCCTCTGCACAGCTTTGCCTTCACACTGGCGATCCAACAAGTCGCTACCAGCTGCTTTCAAGGTGGTCGTACTGGACGATGTCCAGGACGGAACACTCGTCACAGTCAGAGCTGGTGAGTGGATTACATTAACCCATAATTTGTTCTTCGGCATTGTAAAGATGCAACACTGAGTACAATGCTAAATAATTTCATAGTCGCCAGAGGGGAATTAATAATTATTAGATGTCAAATATAAAAGTACAAACTTACATTTACGCACAAATATTATTGTCGGTTGAGGTAACTGTAAATTCAAATGTGACATTCTATTGGTCCGCGTAACTTTCAGAACACATTTCAAATGTTTTAATATTTCACCAAATAATGTTTTTTTTTATGATATGATGCAGAAATCTTAACTCTATAATGTTATCAAGGCAACCACCATCAATATTTATGACTTTTGCTAGGATTTTCAACTTGAAATAACATTTTCATACACAGAAGTGCGAACATTATAGACCACAGAGACTTGAAAGTCACATAATTCATTAACTCCACAAAATAACAAACATAATTTTTTGTTTTTTGTTTTCATAAATATATAGACTTATATATAACTGAATTTTTATTCCTCTATAATTCCTCTATTTTTTTGGATATACAACAAAAATTCGGCCGATTGAGGGTTAAATGCGACATTCTATTTAAAGCGTTTATAACCAACGTACATTTTGCGATTGTTTGCACTGTGATGTTTAATTGTACGAATACAAAATATAGATTTCATTTTTAAATTACTATAATCAAAAAAAATACAATTAATTAAAACCGAAGTATTTTACTTCTGCGGTCAATTGATATTGGTGTAATGACATCATTGTAGTTATTTTAAAATTGACTAAACGCGATTTATGTCATTGTTTAAAATTAAACATATTATTAAATTTTTTAAAGAGACCAGCATCATAAAAGCCCAAATATGACACACTCAGTCCAAATATATTTTTATGAAATATTTTATTAAAATTGTAATATTTTAAGTTTTGTAACATTTATTCCTAATAAATTATCCGCTGAGAGTATTTTATAATCAAGTTATGATTTTATCCTTTTTTATATTGCTAACGATCTCTGCTTATTGTTTAACTAACCGATTGCAGAATATTTTGAATTAAATAAATGTAAAATAATCATTTTGATAATATATAATTCTGAATTCTATCTAAGATATTAAATGAAGGAGATAAATTGAATAAAAAAATATTTATTTTAGTTTTTAATTCGACAAAAAGATATGATCAAATTAATAATATATATGCCGTTTACAGTTGCAAAAGTAATCAGAAGCTTACTTACTTATAAAATTCCATTAATATTGAAGATAATTAAATACGAGATAAAAAAAATTAAATCGCTTTATAACATTTCTAAGCAATTAGTTTTGTACACTACTGAGGGACAGCTACGTTATAATTTCTCGCAATCAGACAGACATTCAGTATATAATTATTTAGTATAGAATTGTGTATTATTATGTTTTAATAACATTAGTTATTAAAATAAATGAATAATCTTCAACATCAAACTATGATTTCTTTTAAATTCAATAGTAATAAAATGAAAAATTGTTTAGCTAATTCAAGCAATAGTTAATTAATTATAATTTTTTGGTGACTGAAGTTCAATAGTATTTAATTATAATATTTTCCTTATCACAGGAAACGACGAAAATTCCTGTGCCGAACTAAGAAACTGCACTGCCGTTATTAAAAACCAAGTAGCTAAATTTAATGACCTGAGATTTGTCGGCAGAAGCGGCCGAGGAAAGTCCTTCAGTATTAGTATAAGCATTAGCACACATCCCGTTAGCCAAGTAGCCACATACACAAAAGCCATAAAAGTCACAGTAGACGGACCAAGGGAACCCAGAACCAAACAAAGTAAGTATTTTATAATAATACATATTTCGAACATTTTATTCTACCTGATATAACAATTGACATTAGTAAGAAGCACAACTTTATGATTAGGGATTCATAAGAATATAATTGACTTGATATTTAAAATCAGGTTATTTGTATAAAAGTTGATCCCGGTTGTTAACTCTTTAATAGTATTATGAAAAATGCAAATAATTAAAATGCAGTCCTGTTTACGCATATTTTTAATGACATGTGCATTGTAAAATTGTTTTTAGAATTACTATCAACGCGTAGCAATATCATTACTTTTCATTTAATTTTTATGTATTAATTTACGCCGATTTTGGAAACACGAATCAACCGATTTGACTAATTAAAAAAAAAAGATTTGATTCGTATTGATGGGGAGATGTGCTGATTAAATTTCAAAAATTTGCAAAAATGACAATTCAGTTTTTGAGAGAACGCTTAATTTGATTGCTAAATATTTTATTTGTTGATTAAATTTTTGAAAAATTTATTTGCGATTTCAGAGATTCAACAAAAAAAATGCCATTTGCGGTCAAAAATGATCATTAGACATATGCACATCAAATTATAAGATATTTTATTCAGATTTTTATAAAAATTACGAATTTTGTTTACATTTTTATAGGACGCGTCGCTTACGCGCTTCGATATTTTGTCTCTATAAATACAAATTTTTCAAAAGTCATTTTTTCAAAAATTTCAAAATTTTCTAAAATCTAATTTTTTCAAAGTTTCCAAAAAAAATTTAAAGCTTTTTTAAAAAATTTAATTTTAGGTACGGGAAGTACTAGCAATTTGCATGATACCATACACCACAAGTTTACGTTAAATATTATAGTTTTTTTTTGCATCATCACGAATGTAAATTGACATGATTTTTATTCCATGAATAGCAGCTCTTCATCTGTATTATAAACGGAAGTAATTCAATAAATTATTTTTCAATTGCGCGGCCATTAATTGAATTTGAAATTCCCGGATGATATGTTTTTTGCGATACTAAAAATATTCATAATTAAATATTTCAATTCATTAACAATTTAACAGCAATTCTATTTTTGTCGAGTATTTTCATTACAGTTGTTCGAGTTCATTGTATGGTTACTTAGAGTATGAATTATGTAAATAGGTTTTCAAACTTTAAAATGAATTTTGTATAACATGCTCTTAAACTGAATAGGGTTACGATCGGGTACTCACACATCGTCATGTGTTATATATAATGTATGCGGGATTTCGGCTACCCAGAGTGCAAGCTTTTGTATAACATATTGGAACAAATAGAGTCGGCCATTAATTTATAAATTCGAACACCATCGCTCTACAAGCATCATTAATTTTCATTATTTGAGCGATTGCGTGTCAAGAAGCAGCCCGAGACTTTAATTTAGACCCGTAGCGGTTTCATTAATCTCAATATCACACAGCCATAGTTCATAAACAACTTTATATTGGATAAATCCACTCATATTTTTGTATTAGGTGATCGATGCATATTAATTATAAAGATAATTGATTGTGAATATTTAATAAATTTATAATTTCAATATATTTGACAATATGGGGCCAATACTCCGAAAAAATACGAGGATAGGGTTGCCGTAACATTTCTATATTATAGAAACATCGGTCCCTATATATCATTTCTGGTGAATTTTGATGTTTTCAAGCCGTATACGCAAACTTTGCCTAACAGTTTCCTACAACATCTGCACTTATGTATATAACATAAACTTACAATGCAAACACGAGTTCCAATCACAATAAAAATAAACAATAAGTTAAGCAAACAAACGTCTTCAACCCTCTCTGTATATAATTCCGAACACGAAGTGTTTATTTTTGTGCTCGGTTTGATGCTTTTTTATATTTGATGTTTCTTCCACACATATTCACAGTCACTTTTCCAATATAATCAAATTAGATGCAACTAATAAACGTATCAACCGAAACTAGACATTAAACCATATTTTCCTTTTTTCCAGATTTCCAATACCCAGGCTGCTACCCGATGTTGCCCGCTTTGGGTCTTAATCCTTTCCTCTTCGGAGCACTACCGGCCTGGTTAGATTCCGTGTATCACCATTCTGGTGTGGGTTATCCGGCAGCAGGCCACCATGCTGCCGCTATAGGAGATTACTTCAACACAGCAATTGGCGTCAATGCGGCAGATATGCACGTTGCGCCCAAATTACCGCCTGAGAGCGCCCGCGGTGCCATGCCCGATATTGCCCTCAGCGAAGAAGTTAACAGAATGAACGCGGCCAGACTTGGAAAAACTTCCGATATGATGGGAAACAACGATTTGAACCATGCCATTAGTAAAGGTAAGCTGAGGAATATTTAATAACTAAAACAGACTAATTAGAAGTAAATTGAAATTTACGTAATATATATATTTGGAATGGTGGATTTCAATTTACATAGTAATATATTCTATAATGAGTCATTAAATTTCGATGTACCAAATTACGCACGCGTGCTTATTATTAATAGCAATGGATTTTCGATGGCAATGTGTGTAGGGCAAACCGTACTGATTAATGTAGGGATTGTCTTATGAGTTTAGAGTTGCCTCGTAAAATGCGCAATTGCAAATGATCTACACTTAATTATACCCCAAGGAATCTCATTTGCTTCTAAGGCCTCATTTACTACACATACTTAAACATGATTTACGGGCATTGGCTTACATCTTGGGAAGTTAAATTATATCATAGGCATACCTTTCGTAACGACGCGGTTTTGGTCTAGCTGAGATAAAGAGATCGCGAGATAGCCGAGTTAATTACATAGGCATAATGAAAATATATATTACAGACATTGAATTTTTCATTAAGAATTAGTTATTTCCTTTAATCTCGATTTTCGAATTCTACTGCACGTTGTTTGTTTTAATCCGGTGCAAAGTATGATAATAAGCGTTATACGCAAAACCATTCATTCATTTGGAGGTTCGAATGACGATGAGGGCTTTTGTAACAAAACGCATTCATTGATCTCTCCCGTACTGTATTTTGACTAGACAAAGCAACGCTCCCTTAATATAAAAGAGGGGTGATATTACAACATGGGGCAAAATCTGTCTGCCTGACTGTTCATTATAATGTTTGGCTGTTGACGTGTCGCTGAAAATGTGCGTGCTGAAATCGCGTACATCCGAGGGAACAAAATTACGAGTAAACCGATATATATATATATATATATATATATATATATATATATATATATATATATATATACTTCTTTGAACTTCAAATTAATTAAATTAAGTAACTGTATTTAGAAACTTGCACTATGAAGTGTTCAATACCTATAAATGTTCTAAATGTTTAACGTTAAATCAGTCATCGCAGTAGTTAAATCAAATTTTTGCAAAAATATCTTCAGACGCTTTGTTAACTATTTCTCTCAGTGAAAAAGAATTATTAATGAATTGCTTTACATAAAATTCGGATTATTATTTTTAAAAATGCAATTTTTCATGAGTAATCAGATTTTGAAACCAAGCTTTCTAAAATAATGAAAATTGACTTAACCACATATTCACAAATACAATTTCAAATGTTACGTCAAAGCTCATTATTTCTATATTTACCAATTATTTCAAATAATTACTTCATTAGTCAGCATTTTATTAAAATCTCATACGTTAATAAAGTCTGGTATGGCAAATACGCAATGCCAAACCATAGCCTGATCAACCTATAGCGACACTTTTCAATAATTATATTGTTTTGTGATATATCTTTTGGTGAACTTTTAATCGGCTCTTTTTTGTATCTTTATCAGTATAAACTTTTAACACTGTTTATCGTAATTGCTAATCTTATTAAGAATCAGACATGCAAGACAATAACTACGGGTAAAAAGCCTAAATAAAATACCATTTTATGGTAACAAAATATTTCAAAGTATATTTTCTCCAATTCCCGCATCTTTTGTTTGTAATCTTACACATTTAGCGTGTATATAATTTTGTTCATAATACACAAATGGTCCAAATGTGTATAGGTATGTTTCACAAAGTACCTCCTTCCGTATATGATCGCGTCTGTACTTCGAAACTTCGTTTGTAGCTCGGAGTGCATTTTTGCACGGTCGCGATTGCAAGCAGCATACGGAAGGCAATGTTCTATAACAGACCTGGACAAGGATAATTGGATTTAGATCCACATTTTAAAACTATAATTAAACTAATCGAAAAAAGAACTATATAAAGTAAATAAAAAAATTGAGTCTAAAGATCAAAGCACGAGATTGAGGAACCAGTTCTACTGTGAAATAGACCAATGTTATGGCAGGACTATGTTACATAGCATTTCTCATACAAAATGGTACTAAATACTGTCAAAATGCTATGTGGTTTCTGTGCGGCCAGGCGATTTTGATAAAAACCAGCAATTTGTGACATGGCATAGTATAATATACATGAAGTTAGATTTTTTAGGTAAAACGTCTGATTCCACAGCAAATACATAGCATTTTAACAGTTTCTAGTACTATTTTATATGAAAAACGCTACGTAGCACAGCTTTGTCATTGGTATATTTTACGGTAACATCAGCTCCTGGAACTGCTAATCCTAACCAGAATCCCTATATGTCGATATTCCGAATCAACAGCAAAAAGAAAGATTATTACCATAACTTGGAGTTCCATTTAATTAGGGAAAAAGTATAATCCAAGTATTTCTGCTTTACCATTGCTGTTATATCACCAAGCATTGCATTACAGAGTATCGGGGCTTTTCACATGTGCGGGCAACACAAACTCGCGGCACGGCAGCTCGAAAACTCTTTGTGAAAAAAACTCAATCGACCGGACATGATTCGATTAACTGCGAACCCGCCTCCGCGCCCGCGCTTCGACAAATAAAACAAATACACACGCGCGTACAGGAATATATCGCCCGGTCCGAGAAACATAAAATAAAATACAAAAAACGATAGTCACAAAATTGTACGGAAATTATGGGTGCCAATGTTTGCCCGAGATGTGTAAACACACGGGCAAAAATGGGCTTTTATTTTCAATCGATAAATTTATGTATGAATCGCGGGGTTACGAATTTTTAAAATCCTATCACTAAAATTATGTGTAGAATCATTACAAGATTGCCAGTTGGTACATCGCAGTTGACACCTAATTATTTGCATCTTCCAGAATCAATAATAATTTTAATTTTTTTTATTTTTCCAGGTGTATCTCCTACATCTTCTCCCGGTTCAGCCACATCTGACTATTACCCACACCCTGCAGCAGTACCGCCGCCAGCAGTGGTACCAACCGCCAGTGCGTTACCGCCTTATTTACCGCCTGGATATCCAGCAAGATTGCCTTTGGTTCAAGGAACTTTGCCTCCAACAATACCTCCTTCGCTGAACCCGCTCCTTACACCTGCAGTTGCGCCACCATTGCCTGCACCACATAGTTTACCTCCGCCAACGAGAGTATCCCACGAAGTTAAAAGAAGTGAGGCCTCCAATTCGGGTTCAGCAAATGGAAGTGATGCAAGTGATGATGAGTTCATAGATGTCGAAATTAGATCAGCGTTTACGCCATTAAAGGATGTTATAGTCAAACAAAAATGTGAACTTAAAGCTCCTACGGTTCTCATTGGAACTGGTGATAGGCTGGACTCGTCAAGAACGACGAGGCTGCACAGCCAGAAAACCGTGTGGCGACCATATTGAAAAAGGGATAGAAATAATTTAAATTTAACAAGTTGATGAACAGTGATTTGTATAACGAATAATATTTAAATTTGTGTTTAAAAGATTGGGTCTGAAACCGAGGTTTCTGGTCAATCTGCATGGTTGTATTGCGTATTTAAAAGCAATATCGGTAAACCAATGCGTGAAAAAATCTTCAATAATTATTGTAGGGCATGTTATATAGAAAGATAATATTGAAGCCTACATCATTTGAGCAGCAATTTTGATTCTAACTTCAAGTGCATAAAAGTGACAGTGAAATAAGATCCTTGAATCAATCCATCAAACACAAATTTTGGTATTATTCGACTGTTTTGCAAGTTTTGCAAAATTGTTAAATCGTTATAGATCACATATTAGGAGATTATTGTAAATATTATATGTATATGTTAGTTTATTTCAAGCAAATCATTTATGTATAGCAGATCTATTTATTTTGAGAATTAATACCAAAAATGTATATAGAAATAATATTTTTAACAATTAGCATTTTATTACGTTAATGTTTTGTTCATAGAAAACATTATTTAAAAAATACTCATTGCATATAAAAGTTCTATATATCACGTTGTAGTGTACATAAAGTAAGATTAGTGACATAATTTTAAATTTGTACCTTCCCTTTATATATGTAAATATTGAAAGTTTTTAGAATTATGTTAAATGATATCGATAAAAAGTATTAGAGAGAAGGTATTTGTGATACAGATTTTATATATCGATTTTATTATATTATCATATTTATATATTCGGTAGTAACCCACCCTTTGTATTATATTTGTGTAAATATTTGTATAAAATTAGTATTAAGGAAATTATTTTTGTACCAAGAGATAGAATACAGATATGGAGTACAAAACTTATAAATAAAATGACAAATTATATGAGAAACACTATATTTCATTTAATAATTTATATATTCAATAAACTGTGTTCGAATTTCAGGACTCTTTTTATTCACAAAAATTTCAATAATGTAGATGAAATTCAATTAACCATGCCGGTATATTTCGTAAAACATTCAAAAGTTTAATATCACAGTTTATACAGTTTATTGAAATGCCAGAACCAAAATATAAAGGTAAGCAAACAAAAATCGATTCAATTGTCATAGAAAAACTAATACTTATTTTCATAAAGTAAGTAAGGCAAACGTTATATTTTAACTATAACACGGATGAAATAATGTAAATAAAAACATTTTATATTAAATACTGCTTCCGAAATAATAGTTTTAGTAGGATCCAAAAGAAATAGTAAATAGTTCCAGTAACATTAATTCAATACTTTTTTTATATACACAATGAAGATGAAGTCGTAGAAAGATGAAAGCATTTTCATATACAGTAAACAACTGATTTTTTTCATTACAAGCAGAGAGGAAAATTAATATAATTTTATTAATTCACTTTTAACCTTTTGCTTAGATGAAAGTACAACTAAGCTGTTTTGTAACTATTTACTGGAAAAGTATCGTTCATCGGGAGATAATTCCATCGTATATGTATATATACCATCCAATGTATAAATATTCTATATGTATATATCCATCGAAAATAAGAATCACAATATTCCTTCTTTAAATAATTAAAAGTTTAAGTTATGCAAAAAAGTATATTTACCTACCCCGAAATACTCGAACTTTACTTTTTCGAAAGCTTAATTTATTCTGTTTCATATCAAACATCAAGGCCCCTATGTCGTTTGTGCATTTCGCCAAAAGAAAAATACTTTAATTTATTCTCTCCGTTCCCGACCAGCCTCAAGACGCTTTTACTTCAAAAAAACTTCCCAAAAACTTTCTAGAGTTCCTGTGCTCGATCCGGGATCATTTATTATTACGAGATTGACAAATAAAATTTGTAACAAAAAAGTTACAAACATATACAAGAGGTAAAGTTACGAGTTTTTCAGTCTGAACAGTGAACATATCTCAGGAATCAAGCTTTAACCCCCATTACGTGTAATGCTATTCAGCCAGTAAGTTAGCAATGCAGCTAGGGTGAGATTTTTTCCGCGTATTATGACGGACGAGCAAACTACGGTCTCGGGACCAAAAGGATCGAAAACTTACTCAGACTTTATATTCAAAGATAAATATATAAACTAATAAACCAGCTTAAGTTGATAGTTGCCAGGAGATAGTTGCCCACTCTGCGCTGGAAAGTCCATTACACCACATGTTCATTCTATTAGCCTCATAGTATATTATCATCGTATTGATAATAAGGACAAATATTCTACTCAAATTTTATTAAATACGAGTACAAGGCATTTTAATATCCGATTCCTATTGACTGGGAGATATGCTACTTAGTTTTTGGCAGAGGCAGGTTCAGCCGTTTCGAAGATACGCGGCAAAAAATGTAATAAATGTAATAAAGTAAATCTTTGAGAGAACGGTGCGTAAGACGTGAATGATTCAAAAAACATTTTACTTGTATTGACGGAATAAACATTTGATCAAACTTTTGGAAAGGCAGGTTCAGTGTATTCGGAGATCCAAAAAATAGTTAAAATAAGGTCATTTGGCGGTTAAAAATGATCATTAGACAAATGTATATCAAATATTTTATAGAGATTTTAATAATAAGAATAAGTAGCAATTTTGTTTCGATTTCTATGGTCTTCGTATCAAAATATATAATGTTTAAAGTTTAGTTGCATAGTTCAAATAAATGTCCTCGACATTTTTGACAGTATGGATCAATCGATTAGAATGAGTTTAAAAAGTATCAAAATTCTCGAAAAAAATCTGTTGTTTTTAAATTTAAAGGTTTTAAAATTTACTGTACGAGAAGTTCTAGCAATTTGCTTTAGTGCCCGATGCCATACACCACTAGTTAAGATCCCGAGAGTAAGTTATAGTAATTGCAAAAAATCGAAACTGAAAATTTGCATATATTTAGGTTCTAATGAATTCTGAACATTTTGGCATATTTTAAAAAAAAATGTATGTATGTGTGTGTGTATGTATGTATGTGTGTGTGCAGTATATATGTATGTGCGGATACAATTTTTTGCCAACATTTTCGAGAGCACGGAACAACCGATTAGAATGATTCAAAAAACATTCGATTCCTATTGGTGAGAAGCAGTACTTAGTTTTTGATAAAGGCAGGTCTAGCAGTCTAGAAAATACGGTGCAAAATAAGGTGCCAAAAATAACAATTCAGTTTATGACAGAGCGGAGCAGCCGATTTGAAAGATTGATTCAGCGTATGGTTAATGAAATGGTTAAAATTTTGAAAGACAGGTCAAGAGGTTTTAAACATCCAATAAAAAAAGTTTAAAATGCCACTTTGGTGGTCAAAAATGATCGTTAGACATATGCACATAAAACTATCAAATAATTTATAGAAATTATAGAAATGTCAATAATAAGTACAAATATGGTTTACGTTTCTATAGCCTCATAGTTTATTATCATCATATCATAGACCATTTTATTTAAAATGTTGGTATAGAACACGTAATTTTTCGTGATAGTGAGTGTACGTACATACTGTATTAAGTACAAATATGGTTTACGTTTCTATAGTTTTTGTACTAAGACATATAATATTCTACTGTTAAATAAATGGCGCTTACGCGCTTCAATAATTTGCCTCAAAAACTGCAACGCAGCGCGATTGCTTTGAAAAATATTTAAAATTTTTGGCGCTTTTTTAAAAAACGGTACGGGAAGTTCCAGCAACTTGCCTTAAGGCACGATGCCATGCACCACTAGTTAATTTTTATATCAAATGAATTTTTATATAAAATTTGATATCACTGCTCTAGTTATGCACCATGCCGTACTGTTACATGTGCCCGGCGTAAAAAATCGCTCGCATGTGTTCGTGTGCGTTTCGTCGTTCGTAATTCGCCCTTTATAAAATCGTAGCAAATGTGTTTCGGTGCATGTGAAGGGCGCCCTTCACAGAATCATTCAAATCTGCACAATGTGTTGTCGCGCCCTCCTCCTAATCAAACTCTCACGGATATACGGATATTGATTTATATAAAATCTATACGGACAGCGAACGACGATAACATTTCGGACACGACTTTGTATCTATAACTTATTTAGTATCTCATATTTTGGAAGAAAAATTATTTACAGCAGTATTAGTTGTTACCAAACACGCAATAAAATCATCACGTTTAGTATTTGTTGTTACTATTGACATATTCCAAAGCTGTTTTTACCATCTAAATCCAATATTTATATTTAAACTAACTGTGGTCAGATTAATCAGACGCATTCTTTTGCTATAACATAGGGTAAAGCTGTGCTTAAAAGTCCTAGAGTAAAAAGGTCCACCTACATATCTCTATGTTCCAAAGCTCATAATTTTCAGACTACATAGAGTAAATAGGTATAAAATGTTTATATCGCACTTCAATAAAATGATTTCAATTTGATTCATATTTGGAAATTTATCTTTAACCACATATATATTAAAACAATTAGCCACATATGTATTGTAATATTAAACATACATTATATAAATATACATTTATATATGTTTGATCTTTATATTGTGAAAATTAAAGCAATTATATAACAACAAATAAGACATATCAAACAAATACTATCTGACTATGTTCAGTGAAACTCCCAGGTAATTCATCATTGTAGAAATGTGTTATTTGTGATCTTTTTCAAAAAAAAAATGTCACTATTGCCAGAAGCAAACAGTCCTAAAGCCTTTTTTTTAAAGGAATTTTGCGAAATAATTGCTACATTACTCATTATTACATTACTACATTATTCAACCAATACAAAATATAAATTTATAGATACGTTTTTCACAGTATATAACCAGTTTTCACTGTATATAACCTTGATATAATATTTCGTCAGAAATGTACATCGAGTTGGAATAACTATTCATTTAATTTATCTCTTGTAAAATTACTTTTTTCAACTTAATTTGCTTTCTTATTTACAATTTTTATTGTTTACACCTTTACAGGGTAAAAATTCAGTTGGTACTTTTTACCCCACTCACGTGTAAGCTTTAATAGAAGTTATATAAATAAAACCGTTAAATCTAACTTAAAATTAATAAAATATCTAATAAAACAATTAAAAATTATATTAAGGTTTTGTAAACTAAACAACAGCGCTCACAACCCAAAAAACTGAAAACCAAAGAAAATACTTTTGTGGTAGCGA